CGAGCTACTGTATAATGCCTTCCCGTCTAGGGGACTTGTTTTCCAGCACTATATTAGACAATATTTTGTTGTTAGCCACAGTGTTTTTCATTACCTAACTTTCAGAAATAAATCACCAGACCTTTCTTTTTGTCTGCTGTAGTCTGGAAACTCTGTTGAAATTTGTCCACCGTGATAATAACACTGCTGATATTTGAAGTACTGGTGGCATAGCTTCCAGTGTTATAGCAACACATGTGTCAACATAGTATGACAAACTGACAGATGTTTGGTGGATCAGAGAAGATGAGGGCAAATGATTCCCACCTGTATTATATATGCAGCCATAGCATTGTGACAGCACATGGGGGAGGTGAATTTTATAATACAAGTTCGAATGGCCACCAAGGAGACAGCCTTGCCATACACAGCCATAGCCCAGTGTGCCCTTCTTATACTTCTCCTTGCATTTATCCTCTGATTCCATGTTATATTCTAGTTCTTTCTTTGCGCAACAATTCTAGCCGCGCCCTCCCCCATCAGGAAGCCAGTCCCAACTGTTCCAAGCATTCTTTACTTTCACTGTGGCTAAACAAAACACCTTATTATGATGAGAAATTAATTGCAATCTGGCTGCTTTCTTGAGTTTATGCATAAATCCATGAAGGAGCTGACAGAAGAGTCAGTACTTCATGGATGCCCTTTTCTTTTCTGGAAAATAAATCTGGTGTCCTAGATTTGTGGATCCCAACTGCCTTTGTACTTTGTATCTGTTTTCCCATTCCTGTTGTTAGGTAATACAAAGATGAATAAAAAATTAGCCGTATTCTCGTTATATTAAAATACCCACCCACATTGGGCATGCATGTGAAATGATTCTGTTGAGTAGATGAGTGACAGTGGATTATGTGACAAATCATTTGCAAATCAGCTATGGCTCTGCCTGTGAAATCATCCACGACAGACTTGGGTTTCTAAAGGTTTGTGCAAGATAGGTATCAAGACAACTCACAGAAGAACATAAACAGAAGCGTTTGGACATCTACAAACCAAATTTGGTTTCAAGGGAAGGTAGACATTTCTTAAGAAAAATCATGACTGGTGATGAGACATGGGTGCATCACTATGGACCTGAGAGTAAACTGCAGAGTATGGAATGGGAACATCCTCAATTGCCAACCAAAAAAAGTTCAAAGGTCAACCATCAGCTGAAAAATGGATACTTACAGTTTTCTGGACCACTAGCAGGACAAAGGCTCAGCACTCAATATTGCTCATTACAGTGAGATGCTCACTGAGGAGTGGAAGCCGAAACTCCAGCTCAGACACTGTGGACTTCTATCCAAGGTGTTGTGATATTGTATGACAATGCTTGTCCACACACCTCTACCCACAATGCTGACATTCTGCAAAAACTTTGTGTTGAGGTGTTAAAGAATCCTCCCTATTGTCCTGATCTTATTCTATTAGACTTTTATCTGTTTGGTCCCCTGAAAGTGGTCCTTTGAGGATGAAGATTCACCTCTGATAAAGAAGTGAAGCCAGTGGTACATTCGTGGCTCACAGCTCAGCCTAAAACATTTTTTAATTAGGGAACACAAAAACTTATTGACAAATGAACAAAGTGTCTTGAAAAATGAGGAAATTATGTCAAAAATGATGTGTTTGTCTTTTCTAAAAGTTGATTATACAACCAGAGTATGGATACTTTCTTACTTGCTCTCATAGTTTTAAAAGGCTCAAGTGAGATCTGGAATGGGTCTGGGAAATTTTAGCTGGATTGATTTATGTGGAAGGAAAAAAGGAGATACTAAGAAATTCTTGAAATCTGATTCTTAGGTGCAGCACTATGCATTCAGTAATATTTCAACAAGGACTCACTCTCCCTACAGCCCTCTATACCTTTGTGTCTAGGCACTTTTTTTGCAAATTTAAATTGTAGGCAACTTGTCAGTTGCCATTGACCCAAGTCTGACTCATGGTGAGTCTGTGTAGACTGTGTTCCATAGGGTTTTCAATGGCTGCTTTTTCAGAAGTAGAGCACCAAGTCTTTCTTTGCATCAGTAATCGCTACATCATTTGCTCTAGTAGCTCAGTCCTTAACCTTAAAGCTCGCAGTGACATGTCTTCCTCTGGGAGAAAACACAAGCCATAGCAAACTATTGTTTAGGCAAGGCTTAAGTACCTTTGGGGTGAGGGCTGTCTAGTCCTGTAAGCACGGAATTGATTAACAATGATAAATTACTTCCTGCAGATGAAGCCTTGATTGACAGACAGTTAAGCAACAGGATGGATGTCTGAAGACTTTTTTGGCTATCTGTGCCTCCCCCAAGTGGACCCTTTGTTTTTTATCAGAGAGCTATGTAGGGTGAGAGCACTGGGACAAAAAAAACCCAATTTTTCCAATGAATCAATTAGAACAATACAAGACTCATCAGAAATATTAATGGGGTACACATTGATTTTTGTACACATGTATCAAAGATGTCCTCTAAAACATTTTTCATTTCTGCCCTACTTGGCTGTTCTGCTGAGTTCATACACAAATCCACAACACAGCTGAGATCTACCCACAGCAGAAAACAGTGGTTCTTCTTCCTGTATCCATGATCCCTCTGGCATTTTCTTATGTAGTACAAGGATCTGGTAGCGTAGTGGTTACGAATCAGGCTGCGAACCTTAAGGTCAGCTGTTTGAAACTACCAGCCGCTCCGCGGGTGAAAGATGAGGCTTTCTGCTCCCATAAAGATTTATAGCCTTGGAAACCCTGTACAGGGTCTCTATGGGTCGGAACAGACTCGACGACATTTAACAACAACAACAACAACAACCAGGATCTTAGGACCTTTGGCATGTCCTTTCTTGGTCTACGAGTTTACTGGAGAGAAAAGGCCTTGTATTTCTCAGTCTCTCATAACCTGACGCAGTGTCTTCTATTCAGGAGGTGCTGGTCAATATATTCTAATTGAGTTGTACTCTTAGTGACATTCATCAGCCCTCCTGACACTAGTATTATGAACAAAACAGCTCTGATCAGAGAAACCTGATCTAAAACTGTATCTTGTAGAGGGCTTTACTCTTGAGAGAAAGTCAGTTAACTTAATTAAGCATCAATTGCTCTGAGGTCAAGTTCAGGAACTTTTTGCACTGTAAGCTAATTTGTTTAGAAAAGAAGAATAAGGAGATACTGCCACTGCACAAATGAAAATATTGAAAACAAAGGTAAACGCACACCACCACCATCACCAGAAGCCATTGAGTTGATTATTCCTCATGGCGACCTCATGTGTAGAGTAGAAATGTGTTCCATAGTGTTTTCAGTGACTGAGTTTTCAGAAGGTGATTTCCAGCATTTCTTCAAAGACACGTCTGGATGGACTCAAATTTCCAAACTCTCAGTTGGCAACTAAGCATATTAACAGTTTGCATCACCAAGGGACTCCACTAAAAAGTGTGACAGCAAGTAAATGAGGGCAGGAGCTGGGCAGAGGCTAGATTGTCTGGAGTGGCATGAGACGCCCTCAGCCATCATGGGACCACCTTTGGGGGGAGATAGAGGGAGGTACAAGCATAATTCAAAAGTTAAGTCTGTATCTCTAGAACACAGATTGATAGGGTAAGTGTTCTTGGAAGTCTGGATTTGAATGCCACCACCACTGCATACTAGCCATGTGACCCTTGGTAAACCATATTGCAATTTACTTCTTGTTGTAGTTGCTAGGTGTCATTGAGTCAGTTCTATTGAGTCAGATCCTATATAGTGTTTCTGAGGAGTGGCTGGTTGGTTTGAACCACTAACCTTGCAGTTATCAGTCAAGTGTTTATCCTACAGTGCCACACCAGGACTTCTGGTAATTTACAAAGTACCTGTTACATTTTTCATAATATTGGAAAGATGACATGTGTTCCAATTCCTTTGTGAGGGTGTTGGGCAGTCAAATCAGATCAGTATTTGCTGATATTGTTGTTGTTAGCTGCTGTAGAGTCAATTCTGACTCGCGGAAACCTCATGCGTGCAGAGTAAACTGTTCATGGGGCTTTCAAAACTGTTACCTTTCCGAAGTCTATCACCAGGCGTGTCTTCTGAGGGCCCTGGATAGTTTTGAACCACCAAACTTTCAGTGATATAATTGAACACTTAACCGTTTGCAACACCCAGGAACTCCTCATTACATAATGGGCTATTTCAGTAGATGGGTATTATTAATTTGAATTCTTGGCACCCTTTTCCCTAACCTCTCATATCCTTATGTTTCACCCATCCCGTTTTAGTAATATGTATTCATCTCTACCCCAGGAACTCCCATTCTCATGTTCTTAACTTTCTCCCTCTTAAAATTTTCTTTAAGTAAGTCATTTAAACATTAGAGCAGCTGTAGTTTTATCACCTATGGAAAGAATTTCTGGTGTCCAAGTCAAGTTGGATAACTATTTGAGAGAGTGGCCTTTCCTGCGTGCTTTTGAAGTCATACTATGATTTGCCTTGTCTATTCATGTTACAGTGGCCCTTTCCTATAGCTAGTATACAACCACTCACAGACACGAGGGGCCTTTATATATATGTATATATCCCTGGTGGCACTGTAAGGTAAACACTGTACTACTAACCACAAAGATAGTAGTTCAAACCCACCCACCACTGTGAGAAAGACAGGGTCTCTATGACTCAGAATCAACTTGATGGCAGTGTGTTTGGTTTGCTATGCATGTGTGTGTATGTACATATACATACATGTTTCTGAAACCAAAATGTGTCTTATATTAACAGTGTATCAAAATTTATATGAGCTGTCTTATCTGTGTGTGTGATTCATAACATAATAGGGCATCTCACAATCAAGGATGTCAGATTAGATACAGTATAGCACTGTTCTTTTTAGAAATATCATGATCACAAGCAGGATTCATTAGCACATTAAGAAGGAAAGTGATGTAAGGCAGAAGTTATTTTGGAATCAGATCATGAAACAAAGAGATGGACTCCTTCACTGTGCTTTCAACATCTAGCTGCCAAGGATTACCTGAATATTTGGATTCTGCCCATTGATATCAGCTTTGGAAAGATCTGGAAAGTTTGGTAGATCAAGAAGAAAGGACCTGGGACCATCTCTTTGCAATGAAGGGTGGCCAGAGTCTTGCCGGAATCGCTGTCTGGGGATGGGTCTTTGTGCAACTTGATGATCTGGAGGCTCCCTGGGCTCTTCTTTGGAGACAGGAAAGCTAGTTTCTGATGTAGACTCACTTTCCACATTGAGGTTATTCTAAAACAAACAAACAAATTTAAGAGACACATGATAAAATATATGTATTTTAAATGCTACCCTTAAAAGTCCATCAAAGACAAGGAGCAAGGGCATTCCATTGGCTGAAATTAAGCCAAAATAATATTCCCAATTCATTTTCCTTCCCCATGGTTTAGTTTCACTATCTTCAAAAAGCCTAATCATTAGGAAATTTCTTCCAGCCCGTTCTTGGGAGTTTTATGAGAGTTAATGAGTTAAGGGCTATTTATTAAGCATCAAAGCACATCCAAACAAAGTGCTGTTTTGAAGGAGAATAGGTGCTCATTTAGAAATTATGGTTTCTTTCTCATAGCTTTAATCTACTAACCACCTTGGCTTTAGTTATGGCCCGACTGTCCAGAATTTATTTCTTTGGTGCAGGCCATGGAGTATAAGGTCTGATAAAGTTGGATAAAATACTGGATCACTGATTAGATCCATCTGTGGCTGCAACAATGCGTTAAAAAAGAACCACTGTGAGGATGCTGAAGGACCGGGTAGAATTTTGTTCTGTTGTACAGAAGGTAGCTATGAGTCAGACAGCACCAAACAACATCCATTCATCCATCCATCCATCCACCCATCTAATCAACAAATTCCAATCACATTTTGTTGTTGCTGTTAGGTGCCATTGAGTCGGTACCGACTCATAGCTACCTTATGCACAGTAGAACCAAACACTGCCCGATCCTGGGCCAACCTCACTATTGTTGCCACGCTCGAGTCCATTGATGCTGCCACTTGGCCAATCCAATTCACTGGGGGGAGCTTCCTCTTTTTCTCTGACCCTCCACCTTGCCAAACATGATATCCTTCTCTAGTGACTGATCCCTCCTGACAATATGTCCAAAGTATGAGAGACGAAGTTTGGCCATCTTGGCATCCAAGGAGCACTCTGGCTGCACATCTTCCAAAACGGATCTATTAGATCTTTTGGCAGCCCATGGCACTTTCAATATTCTCCTTCAACACTCTAACTCAAAAGCATCAGTTCTTCTATGGTTTTCCTTATTCACTGTCCAGCTTTCACATTTAGGCACAGTAAATACAGGACAGGCGTGAATCCTATTTTCTTTGAGTGTATATCTGGTTGGGGATGGTGGTGTGGATAATCAATAAATACATAGATAAATCAATAACACCAGATCAGAGAATGGTGACTGCTAAGAAGAAAACAAACAAACAAAAAAACAAAAACAAAAACAAAAAAAAAAAAAAGAAGAAGAAGGTAATAGAGAGTGGTTAGGGAAAATAGTAGATGCTCAGAGAAAATCTTTCTGAGAAAATGACCTATAAGGCAAGTCTTAACATAGCGGTTACGAATCGGGCTGTGGACCGCAAGGTCAGCAGTTCGAAACTACCCGCTGCACTGTGGGAGAAAGATGAGGCTGTCTGCTCCAGTGAAGATACAGCCTCGGAAACCCTGTGCACGGTCACTATGGGTCAGAACTGACTCAACGGCACTTAACAACAAAAACAACAAACAAGAGAAGGTGATACCCTGCAATGATCTGGGATTAAAACATTCTAGCAGAGGGAATAACAACCAAAAAAGCCCTGAGGTGAGGGTGAATTTGGTTTGTTTGAGGATTGAGGAAAGGCTGGTGATTTTGGTATGGAGTGAAAAAAGGAAGAAGAGATTGGTATAGCCAATCAAAAGGGACAAAATATTCTAAAATAGAATGTGAGGATGGTGCAGGACTTCTGGTGGACACTGTAAAATGAGCACTGAACTGCTAGCCTCAAGGCCGGCAGTTCAAATCCACCAGCTGCTTCTCGGAAACCCTATATGGGGTCACTATGGGTTGGAATCAACTCAACGGCACTTAAAAACAACAACAATGAAACAGAATGCTTTTACTCTAAAAGAAAACTGCAAGTCTGTTGTTATTAACGACTAGTAAAAAATGTCTCTTTTAGCACTTGCTGGGGACAATTTTGTTAGTGATTGAAGAGTATATAGAAGTTGCTGGACTCCTTTCCCAATTTTTCTACCTCTCATTCTTCCTGGCTCTCTCATCCAAAGACTTCTTCCATTCCTGCGGGGATAGTGTTTTCATGTTTACTAGTGGAGAGAGCTCTGGAGATAGAATTTCACCAGCGTTTGGGTCAGTGGTGAATGTCCTTGTTATTCTTGGGCATGTTGTAGGGTTTTGGAGTGTCGATTCCAGTACACTGTCTCCACACACACACTCTGGCCCCCACTACAGTGCCTCTGACCCAGCCAAAAGGTTACATCTGGTATCAAGACACTCTTAACTCTGAAAATCCAAGGTCAAGAGTGGCCTGAGGATGAAGGACATGCAGTAGATAAAAAACTTCTTAGAAAGCTAAAATGAGGGTTCTTAGAGGGATGGATTTTTACATTGTTTTAAACAGGAATGGGGCTGAAGAAAAGACTGGTGCAGAGACGAGCAGTGAAAATCTACAGAGAGGTCAAGAGGAGCAAAGAGACAGGGAACATGTCTGCCTCCTCTTTAAGATGTGCAGCTATAGAAGCAAAGCTGACTGTCCTTCATCATGTTTTTGCTTGCCCTTCCTTTCAGTGCAGAAGCTGTGGCCGGGGGCAATCTTTGTTCACCTTTCCAGCCACCTCTCTGTCATGGGTTTTCTCCTGGCACATGCTTGCAGAGGGAGTTGTCCTGGCATTCTGAGACATTGCTCAATGCAATGGAGGCCAAATGTGTTATTCTGACATTAAGCCCAGCGGAGAGAGAGAGAACACTCTAAGTCTTCCTTCAACATACGATCTCTCCATCACAGACAGCCCAAGGGGAAATAACTGAAAACAATTGTTATCTTCCTTTTCTCCTGAACCCCAAACCTTCTCCACAGTGTTAGTGATGACAGTTGCTTTAGGATTTCCTGGCAAATCAAGCTCTAAAACTTCATTGTAACAACTCAGGCAGACCTACTGTTTATTGGATAAAAAAATGGAACTTAAAGTCAACTCCCTTTCCTTTCTCCTGTGGTAAATTACTCTTTGTAACAGTGAAACTTATATTTTAAAAAAAGAGATAGAAATTATAGTTTTGGTATGTGGCATTTTGCTTAGTTTTTTTTTTTTTTTTTTAACTTTTTAAAAACCAAAAGGCCTGAACCCAACTGATTTTTTAAACCTGACTCTGAAATATTTTCTAAAAGGACATTCAACACCACAGTAATCCTGGCTCAGCCACTGACCAAGCAACCTACTTAACTGTGACTCAGTGAACTTCCATGTAACGATGCAGATAATAAGGATAGCCCTGTCCCCTCCCCGTGGGACCATCAAGTTACCATGGCTATATCTATATATGAAAAGATAAGTGCAGAGTTAGGACAATTGGCCGGGCAATTCAGGCCACAAGTGCATCTGCCAGGAATAGTCTGACTACTGGGGCTAATGTATGTTTTGGCTTGAGTTATGCACACAATTGTGATAGTTCTCCATAGCCTCTGCTTCTCCATGTTTATAAAGCATTTGGAAGATGGGAAGTAATGAGAAAATGCAAATCCCAATCTCTGGACATTGGAATTACTCTTGCACCTCTTCCAAGACATATTTAACAGGAAACTTTAGATCCCTGTAATGCATGCCTCAAATTACTCAGAAACTACAAGTCCTGGGGGTATAAAAGGTTATAAGAAACATCCATATAAAAGGAAATTCCATTTTATTCAATTAGTAACAAAATGCTAGGAGGGACATAATTTTGGTGATATAAATTTTAAATCCTGGGTGATAGGCAGCAGACAGGATCTGAAAACAATGTAGGAAATGAGTCTTTTCTTCATACTCCATCCTTTTACGAAGGGGCTCACTACACATTTTCTTATAGAATACCAGACAGCAGTATTGGCTGATGGATTTCTGCTCCAGTTATCGCCAAGAAATCACCAAGTTTGCTCACAAAGTGTTCCCTTTATACTCCTTTAGAAAAGTAAATATTCTGAAGAAGAATGATCCTCAAAATGAGGATTAAAATAGTTTGTGATTTATTCAGAAAGGTACAGCCTTCTGTAAGTTGACAGCATAAGGGAATCCAGGAATTTAAGAGGAGGCATGTCACCATCCACTATTTGTTCATCAGTTTGTTGTACGGTAATGACTTACATGTTGCTATGATGCTGGAAGCTATGCCAGTGGTATTTCAAATACCAACAGGTCACCGTTGGTGGTCAGCTTTCAGTGGAGCTTCTAGACGAAGACAGATAGGAATAAGGAGAGACAGACTACTTATGAATGTCTGGTGGTGGTGGTGTGCTCTTGAGTCGGCTCTGAGTCATATCAACCCTGTATAGGGTTTCCAAGGCAGTGAAACTTTAAGCCTAATCTTTAATCTAAAAGTGAATCTTTAATCTAAAAGACTCATCTTTCTCCAGCACAGCAATGGATAGATTAGAACGGCTGGCTTTGTGGTTAGCAGCAAAACACATACCACTATACTATCAGGGCTCCTTAAATAGCTTTCATGCCTTTCATGTGTTGACCAGGAATTGAACAAGGGTCAACTGCTTGGAAGGTAACTATGCTAACCACTATGCCACCAACACTTAAGCTATAGATGTTTAGCTGCTGAGTCCTTTATGGAAAGCAGCAGAACATTGTCAGATAGAGTACTAGAAAATGAAAACATAAATAGAACCAGAATATTGCCAGTTACAGTGCTGGAAGACGAGCCCCTCCAGTTGGAAGGCAATCAAATCATGAATTCTCCTCATTTTGATTTCTTCCCAATCAGCAATTGAAGGTACCCAAAACTTGGCTCCATTCTTGTCACTATGATCAACTCAACTTGGAGGAGACAGCTCTTTTCCAGTCATGGTTTTTTTTTTTTCTTCCTTTTTTTAAAATTGTGAATTGAATGTAATCTTACAGACAAGATTATCCATTTTACATTGAACAAATCATTTATTTTTTTTTCATCTCAGTGCATGGATGAGATTGAAATCACTCAGATGAAATAAAGCATATGATTTGTTGAAGGTAAAACTGG